GCCTCTAAAAGATAAAGATTTTGACCGTGGCCACCCCTTAAGAAAGTTAACAGTAATTCCTCAATATCATCAGATACCCAGTCACTGGCCTCGTACATTTTCCCGGTCCATTTAATTGTTCAAATCAGGGTCCAAATAAGGTCCACACACTGTGAGTGGTTGATGCATTTTTTGAATCTCTAAAAATTGATAGGTTTCCTCTCCGCTTCTGTCTTTCTGCCCTTCCTCCCAGCTTATTGAAGAAACAGGTTGTTCGCTTTATTCGTCAAGTTGCTCGCAGCCTGGGTTGCGCTGAGCACACCCTCAGCGTGTCTAAGCGCCTCTCATGGAAGCTGGAAGCTCCGTGGGCTTCAGGATCGATGCTTCACAGGTGGAGCTGTTCAGCCGCCGGGGGGCCCGGCCTGCCTGGTTACCCCCTTCTCATGGCGGGGAGCGGCCTCTGACCCGTCCATTCTTCCCCTAGTCGCGCAAAGGAGGCCGGCTTACCTCTGGGGGCTTGTGGTCCCTGAGTCGCTTGCTCACCCCTGCCGTAGCTCTTGCATCTTCCGCCCAACTGGCTTCCTAACTGCTGGCATTCCTTGGCACTTGGCCACCGGACTCCTGTCGAGGCCACCGCGTACCAGGTAAGACCAGGCATAAAGTGGGAGACAGTACAAGTTCCACTGGAAACCTCCCAGTTGGGGGGGTGCTGTTCTGGGGGGCCGGGATGCTCGCTCAGCGGACATCACAGTGTGAGCCCTGACTCCTCCAGCTGAATTTAAAGAATTCAATTTAGTTCGGTGTCAGCTGAGATCAGGGAATGAAATGGGCCTGCCTCGGGCAGGGAATCACCTTGCTGCAGTTCCCAGGAGCTCTGCCCTCACAGTCACCTCCAGTTCCTAGAATTTGCTTCCTCGAGTTCTCCAGCCCCCCATGCGCTTCCCTGCCCCGCAGCTGAGATGACAGGATGAAATGGGCCTGCCTCGGGCAGGGAATTACCTTGCTACAGCTGCCGGGAGCTTCTGTCTTCCTTCTGCCACTGGTAACGCGGGAAGCGCCGTGTCAGGGATTGGCAGGCTCTAGGAGCCGTCCACGCCGTCTCAGTTGTCAGGCTTCTTCTCCGGGTGCCCTAAAGCGACCCCTACTGGAACGCAGGTGCTACCGCACAGCTCCAGAGACACGCGTGCTCCCCCAGGGAAAGATGGGCTCAGATCTAAACTCAGACTAATGTTCTCATTGTATGGAACAACTTTTTCAACATGTGTGTAAGTTACAAACCACACATTCCTTCCAACCTCTAAAGCTCTGGTGAGCTAGAAGCAAAACTATGGCACTAAGCAAAACCAAATAAAACTTTGCCACAAGTAGGTTTTACGAGGCCTGAAGCTTCCCAAGGATGAAAATGAACTCTAGTGCTGCTGCAGTTCTACAGTCCGCCAAATCTTCGAACTCGGGTCACATCAACATCATTTTCTGGCTGGTACTCCACTAGTGTCACCTCAACCCTGACAGCCTTCTTGTCTGTTACTATCTTATTGTCAAGCACTCACTATGTCCTGGTTCCTTTGCAGCCCAGGCCACCCTAGATGACATATAGCACATAGGTTCCAGCAGGATCAGGGTCTATGAAAGGGAATTTCAACAAAGGACCCAGATGGAAAGGGCCCTATGATGTTCTCTCGACCATCCCCATGACTCGGTGGGGCTCTAGACCATCCCTGGAAGACACAAGGTGACAAGACCCCTCCAGCACAACCTCCCACCAGAGCACCAACCCCTCGATGTCCTCTCGTTGCCCACATACCACCTCCATGTGCTGTAAATGTTAACTATCCAGTGCCCGGTGATGTAAAGGAAGTAGGTGTCTCTCCATTTTATTTTGTATCCAACCTCAGAGGTTTCCCTGCATTGCTTTCTCCCGTGTCCCTAATCTACCACCAATGAATCTCTTGTTAATTCTCCTTACATCTTCTTTGCTTGTCAGCAGTAATATAAATGTAAATAAGCTGTAAAACTGTCATTCTCTGTAGCCTGTTCTCAGTTTGTTGAGATTTTGCTTCCTGGCAATTGTCAGTTTGGCTCAGATAAACTCTTATAGGACTTTTTCTTAGGCTGGGCCTTCTTTTGTCGATATTAGGAATCTAAAGATCTCTCAGATGTTTTAATATTAAGAATAATTTAGTAAGATTTCACCTTAAAATAAAAATATCTATATTGCTCAAATATTTCAAATCAGGTACAAAGCTGTCATTCTACCAGACCAAACCACCTCCTGCGACAAATGTATAAAAAACATCGAATATGAAAAGCCACTTTCTCAACACACAGAAATATTAATACTAATGGGTCTCTTCTCTTAAAAATTTTTATGCTTTATTCTGAAGCTTCCCTGGGTTAAAAGATGTTTTCCCACCTAAAGAAGGCAGAGGACAGAGGACAAGGGGCTGGTAGTCAGGAGGCCCTTCTCCTAGTCCCAACTCTGAAATCAGCGTGCTGTAGAAACAAGGGCAAGTCCCTTCTCTGGGCCTCAGGGTCCCCATCTATAAAGTTAGAGCTATTTCAACTCTAGGGCCCTATCAGAAAAGTTAAAGGGTGAGAGAACCGAAACCAGAATGTGGGGAAAGGTGAAAAATATGACCAGAAGCAAAAGCCCTTGTCCTGCTCTCCTGGAATTAGCCCTGGGGAAGGTGACTCACTCTGGCCCACCCAGAACTGCCCTTCACTCCTGGCCCACCCCTCCCATTTTCCCCCCTGACCTCCTGGGGAAGAGAATTCCTGATAAGTTGTAGGTGTACGGCCTTAGTCATCAACTCAACAGGGCTACTGCCTAGAGTACAGAATTATGTGGATGGTTTATTTGCACTTAGTGAGCTAAGCCTCCTGTGTGAAAGCTCTGAGTCCTGACACACCTATGTGGACACATGGACAGCAATTTTCCTGTGCCTTGCCTCTACCAGAGCCCAGGCTTACAGCCTTCTAGGTACCCTGCCTTGACCCAATAGTACTTCTTACATATCCCAACCTCTGTGGCCCTCTCACTGACGGTCACCTCTTTTCCCCTTCTCTCCATCCAAAGCTCACCCATTCTTCCACCCTGCTCAATGGACAGACAGGAGACCACATAGTACATAATTCCATTTTTATAAAAATGTCCAGAATAAGCAAATCCATAGAGAAAGAAAATAGGTTAGAGGTGCAGGAAGGGCAATAGAAATTAGTTAATGGGTGTCACCCATATTTGGCATGAGGAAAATGCTGTTCTGGAATTAGATAGTGGTGATGGTTGTACAACTTTGTGAATATATTAAAAACACTGAATTGTACACTTTAAAAGGGAAAATTTTATGGTATATGAATTATATCTCAATGTTTTAAAACTCGGGTAAGTCATGAAATCAGAATCAGTGTGATATACTTAGCATAGAACAGTGGGACTAATTACCTTTATTTGATTGTTTGCTGCAATTATGTGACGAGAGAAAAGCAGAGTACAAAATTCAGTAGATTTTAGTAATTAATTCTACAAAAGCTTATGGATTCTCAACCTACTGCTCAGCTATATCTTTGTAAACAAGTGATATGTCCTAGTAATTGTACATAAGCTGGTATGTGAGACAATGTGGGGTTTCCTTATCTGATTTAATAAAATGCTTGAACACTGAGGGGAAAAGAGCTTACGGAGTCCTTGCCATCCTATGCCACTGCGCTAGTGGCTTCAGTGTGTGCAAAGCTAACTGGTGTTCAGCTGCTCTCTGGGGACATAGATGCTAATGGCGAGAATTGGAGGAGGGCACAGTGGACCTAGAGCCCAAAGAGGGCTGGAGGGAAGATGTGACCAAGCTCAGCTGTCATTTATATGGTAAAAGGTCCTATTCAGACCCCCAGAAAGCATTTCCAATTGAAAAGCCAAAGTTAAAAGCCAGGCATCTGTTTTTCCCCTTGCCCTGAGTTATCTTGACCCTTACGTATAGCCTGGGTTCTTCTCAAGCCTTCATCTTTAGCTCACCTGGAGGATTTTTTAAAAAGCTAAAAAGAAAGTCAGCCTGAGTTTAACTCCAGACACAAAGGTAGGAAGGGAAGGAGAAGAAAAGAACCTCCTTCCAGCTAGAGGGCGGGATCTTTCACTGCGTTGGAACGAGTTACCTGATGGGGAAAAGCCGCGGGGAAGGGCCTCGTGGGATCTTACTGTGTTCTGGGTGCGTGGATGCTGTCTTGCAGGCGGCTGGGCGCTTAGTGCAAACGTCCCAGGTCCATTACTGACTCGTCTTGTCACAGGAGTCTTTCAAAGCGGTGAGCGCCCTACCGGCTCCAAAGTGCTTGTCCTGTGCCCGCGCAGTGCGGGGTGCAACCCGCAGAGACAGAAGACCCCGTGTCGGGAGGAAAAGATGCCGGGAGGAAAGAGAACACAGTTAGGCCTGTCCTTCAAGCCAAGGTGGCCAGGACGGCTGGCTTACCGGCGATGAAACAATCCGGGCCATGGTACCGAATGTGTTACTGGAGACAATGAGACCTCAGTTCTTAAGGGAAGATTTCAATCAAGAGACAAAGTGCAGCAAAGTAAGTAAGAATTTATTGGCCACAGCAAAAACACTTAGGACAGTGAAACAAGCAAAGGGCATGGAAGGAGCAACAGGAGAGCCTAGGCGGGGCTGCTCTGGCTTACTGGGAAGTGAGAGAAAAGGGGGCCTTGGAGACAGGTTCAGGGGTGAGCCCGGGATGAGCTGCCGCTGCGCATTGCTCCCCTGGTTGCAAGTCTCGTGGAGTCCCTTGGAAGAAAGGGAAGGGAAGGGAATGGAATGTCATGGGCGTGCCTCCCTGGGGGAGAGCTTGCACTGGGTCCTTCATCCTGAGTGTATTTCTCTCTCTTGCTGGTGGAAATCTTCGGGGAGGTCTCAGGGGAGGGTCTCAGCAGAATATTCATCAGCTTTCCAGATGTGCTTTTTCAGGGTCGTGGTCTCCACTGATAGGTCAGCACCAGGGCAGGGTCATTAGTCAATGCAGCTGGTCCTAAGGCAGCCACAGCTTCATTTGTCTGGTTTTGATGCTTTTCTGGGCCTGGAGCTGAAATACAACTGACCAGATGTTATCTTTAGGGAGGAATGCTCAGGGGGTGTAAGCCACATGGCCAGAGATATGAAAGATTAGGAGGTCCAAACCACATGACCATCGATATGCTAGGGGAGAAAAGTTTACCTTCAGGACAAGGTTCTTGTTTTTCCAGTTTTGCCCCTTGCTAGGTTTTTGCCCTGGTGAGTTTCTGTACCTGGCCCATTGTCCTTGCTCTGCTCATGTCTGTCCAACTGCCTATAACATTTATATCTATATCTATCTATAAATATTGACAATATCTATCTATAAATATCAATAGATACATATATAAAAGTGCGTGTGTTGGTGGACATACATAGATAAATATATGCACACACACACATATATATATATATATTTCAATCAAGTTGCGATTGATAATTCCTGACAGGAGAAATGGGAGGTAAGAGAGGACAGGCACAGGCAGGGGAAAGAAAGCCCAGAGAGGCAATAAAGTGTTCCAGAAAAAGCATGAGCTAAACAGAACTGATTCAAATCCTGCCTCTGCCTCTATGGAAACTCAACCCAAGCAAGTTACTTAACCACGCTGAACCTGTTCCTTTGTGTGTAAAACAGGGATTATAATATTTACCTGACAGAGCTCTTCTAATGATCAGTGACCCTTTAGCATTTCAAGTGCACGGCAGTGTGCCTAGAGAATGGCAGGCACTGGGCGTGCGCTGGTGTTGTACAGCAGGCTGGCTGGGTAGCTGCATGTGGTTCTGCTTGCTTCTGGTATAAGAGACCTGCAGGTAAAGGAGAGGCACAGACCACTCACTCACTACAGCCCATGGATCACAAGGACCCTAGATCCTAGCTAAGTGTATGAGCAAATGAACAACAAGTGGCCTTTTTAAACTATTGGTGAACTGCCCTTAAGCAACAGCCCATCCAGTTTCCAGAGAATTCACAATCCAGACAGCACCCTTAACACCTGGCCATCTCGCTGCCAGTGATTTCTCTCTGATCAGCTGCACTGTGCTAGGCAACAGGCTCAGGTTACTAGCTCACCTTTTTAGTGGTTACTTTCACACTCATCCTTGAAAACCTTTTCTGGCCCTTACTTATAGAGCAAAGTAGCAGGGCTTTTGATGACTAGCACTCTGCTGATTCACTGAGTGAACTTGGGTCAGGCAGATAATCTTTCTTTTCCAGTTCTCCCTGAACAGGGCAGGCAGGTTCCTGTCTCTAAGCAAAAGCATCAGCACAGGGAGAGTCATTCAGGGTCACCAATTGGAGTGAAGTGTCTCTTTGAATAATCCATTTTCCTCCCAGAGCTCTAAAAGCAATTTTTTCATCCATTATTTTGTCCTTACTGTGACTGGATCTGATTTTAGATGTCAGCTACATTTATGAGCCCTCAATTCATTAAGTCATCAAGATAAACAGATGGGGCCTTGCGCTCAGTGTGAGGGCTAAATGACTTGGAGAGCCCGGAGATCAGTCAATAAAAACCTATTTGCAGTGCCATTGAGTGTGGCAGTGCCTCCCGGGAGAGGCACCTCATTCTTAGTGAATTAGCAGACTGTAAAATAGCCCTAAATCATTGTTGGGAGAGAGAGAAGCAATCAGTATCCCAGGCAGTGGAGGAGAAGAAAGCAGGGTTCTTTTCAGAAGTGTATAAACGGTGGGTGATCAAGAGAATTAAGAAGGCACAGGAGCCCAGAGGCAGCTGTAGTCACTGAACTCAGGCACTCACCTCTGCAAAGAGACAGCCTGAGCCATTCAGCCAGTATTTACCGGAGGCCTTCTATGTGCAGAACACCACCAGGCACTGTGGGCGAAAATGTAACAAGACGTTTTGCCGCCCGGGGGCTTGTAAGCCAATGTTCATGCATAACCACAGTACTCAGCATCTTACCGAGTGTCAGGAACCAGCCAGGGAGTCCAGGGAGTAAATCAGATTTATCCTTCCTGGTGGAAAGAACTGTTCCCCTGTGGTGCACAGGAAGCTTTTGCTTCCAGTAATCAATTCTGTTTCTGTGTAATGTAGTCCCGTATCTGTACAAATACACATCATAAAAATAAGTCAATCATTTTAGTCCTATAGATTATATAAGTTTTAAAATTTCTAATTTTAAAAATCAGGATATAAACCACATAAGGCTGAATATTAAAAAGATCAAATTCTGCCCACTTATTCTCTATGGAGATATATTTAATAACAAAATATATGGGATATAAAAGTATATATGAATTTTTAAGAAGACATGGTTGGTTTTTTTGTTTTGTTTTTTGTAAATATTTCTTTTTATTGATTGCAGACAGAGGAAGGGAGAGAGATAGAAACATCAATGATGAGAGAGTCATTGATCGGTTGCCTCTTGCACGCCCCCCACTGGGGATTGAACCCACATCCCCAGCATGTGCCCTGACTGGGAATCGAACCTTGATCTCCTGGATCCTAGGTCAATGCTCAACCGCTGAGCCACACCAGCTGGGCATGGCTGTTTTGTTAATCCCAAAACTAAATGCCTTCAAAACAAGGCAAAGAGGCAGGAAGGTTTCAGCTATGTTAGGGGAGTTCTGTGCCCACCACCCCGTGTGCTCATCTCCCCTACTCGCTCCCCCCCAAATAACTAAGAGGAAGAACAAAAAGGAATTTTGAGGAGCTGCAATAAATCCAAGATCCATTTTTCAGTGACAACCTCACAGCTTTCTGTTTGAAAACAGTCAGTGAAAACAATCTTGTGTCAAGCCTAAAACATTACAAGTGTATTTCCTTATTTGATCTGTTTAAGTGCTTTCCTGTGTAAAATGCACTTACACAGGAAAGTGATCCTCTCAACATCTTATACAGGAATTGGACAATCATGGCCAGATTGGTCAGAGCACAGTGCTATGAGAATGAAGTACAATGAGAGTGAAGCCTCATCTCTGCCACTGATCTTCCCCTAGATCGTCATGGGGT